CTAGCAGTGCAGCACATGAGTGATGCCACTGCAGGTCCCCTGCCCCCCCTTTTTTGGCCCATGGCTGCCCCTGCAGTGCTCTGCATGGGGCCAAGCCCTGCCTGCTCCTGCCTTGGGCAACCCACGCCAAGCTTCCACCCACCCCTGGCCTGCACCTGCCATACAGAGCCACCCCAGCTACCCTGGCCTCAGCCAGCATGCACAGCTTCCTGGTGGGGCTGCTGCTGTGCAGCTGCAGCTTCCTGGGTACTACTTGCCTCTCCCCAACACTAGTGGCTCCTCCTCCCCCTCTTCCTGCCCCTGCTGCACTGCTCCAGGCAACAGGTAACACAGGGAAATGATGACGGCCATGGGAGCACATGCTGGGCAGGAGGATGAGCCACTGGAGGTGTTGGGGGCAGGAGGAAAGCCAAGCAGTACTCAGGTGGATGTAGCCACCTGGCAGCAGTCCTGCTGGGAAGCTGTGCATACTGGCTGGGGCTGAGGCGATGCTGTCTGGTGGGCATGCAGCGGTTGCACAGGCTGCCCTGGCTGGGAGAGGTTGGGGCTCGGCCCCATGCAGAGCGCTGTGGGGACAGCCATGGGCCAGATATAATCAATTGGTGGGTACCCAACTGTGGGTTGGGTCCAATCATTTGGCAGGCCACATCCAGCTTGTGGGCCATATTTGTTCACCCCTGTGCTAGACTGTAGCCCAGCCACCTCACACCTGGTTGTATATTCAGTACCACCTGCGCTTCCACCACCTTCCTCTCCCCTACCTCCCTCATTTCCTTCACCTCAGCCTGCACTGACACTTGGTCCACCCAAAAGAAGGCAGCACACATTCCTAGACAATAGCTGAGACAGAACAAGGGAAATAACTGCTAGGGTGACTGTATTTGGATCTTGGGGAGCATTGGATTTGCAGCTGAATAAAAGGCTGTAACCTGTGGCCTAGCAGAGCTGCTAACCACAAGGCAGAATGATATATTAAAAGTAACATTGCAAGACACTTAGGCAAGCATTTTCTTAACAATATAGTAGTGTTGTAAGATATAGAGGTCATTATGTATTGTTAGGAGGTAAAGCAGATTTTGTTTATGAATGCTTATGCTAAGCCAGCCATTTGCTTATGCTAAGTAATCATCTTAACTGTGTCAACCATTTTCAAGTGAGTCTGTGTAAGTCTGTATGCTGTGAATGAAGTGAAGTCATAGGAATGTGGAGATGGTACAACTGGGACTGAAAAACAGACTGGAATGTGAAAGACAACATGTAATTGGTAAGAGAATCCGAGATAAACATATGCCAAAAGGTGAATGGTGATTGGTAAAGAAGCCTCCAGAAGCTTCCAGGTTTTGTTCAAAGTCCGCCCAGTGACCAAAGAAGTGGAGTCAAGGTCTTAGACATGCGCTCATAGCAAAAAGACATGTAAATAAATAAAATGCATGGGCAATTCCATGCTAATGAAACAAACAGTAAACAGAGGTGGAGCTTAAGATAGAAGGGAATATGAGTGGAACAAAGGAGGAACAAGGGTGGAGTAAATGTTAATGAGTATAAACCAAGGTGTATAAATGTGGAAAGAACTAATGTTCACTGCAGGTCCCCGGTTTGTTGGACCTTTACCCGAAGTTGTCTCCGTTTTGAATAAAGCTGTTGCTAGCAATGTGTGTTGGTGTTTGCTCTCTGAGCAACTGGATCGTTGTCTCCCTAGTCATTGGGCGTCACATAGAGTCGGGGGCTAACAGTAGCCAGTGCATGTCAGCTTTCCATGTTGCAACAAGCTTCTCCATCTCCAGCTCTCTAATTTCTGCTCGCCTTCACCCTCAGACCTATGTGAAGGGCTACATAGAGGAAACATCCCATCTGATACTGCCTTTGAATCCTTTCTCCTCTGCCTGTGGGTCTTGTCTTCCCCCTTTCTTTGTCTCCTATGCCCAAGACTCGTTCTGAAATGCCTTTTCCTGCCATGCCCCAACCACCTCTTTATGAGCACCCTCCTCCCTCTGCTCTCCTCCCTCTGCTGGGAGCCTTCCTTCTCCCTCTTGGTCATTATTACCGGCCTCCTACTTCCCTGTCTCTCTGTTAGAGGCCATGCCTCATTCAACTCCTCATCATGGCAGGTTTGTGGTGCTGTAGACAGCCAGGCTGAGTGATTTTTGCTCTCCCTCCAACCTAGGCATCTCTGATCAGAGGGGAGAATGTGGGGTTGCAGATGACCCTGGGTACATGTTCCTCCATATGCCTTTGCCAACACATCTCACTGCTAACTTGCTACAACCGAGTTATTTTAATATTCACCAGACATGGCTGAACAAGTGCCTCTCTTGAGACCAGAAAAAAGCCTGCTGCTCTACAGGACATATCACAAGTCCCTGAAACACTCCAACACAGGATCCACATTCATTGCAGCACGGTGAGCGTGGCACAGATGCTCAGAAGACTACTGATAGTTAAGCATTTACACTGATTTATGGGCCATAAAAAGACATTGCTCTTTTTTAACAAAATGTGACTCCAAAGACAAGCTGAGCCAATGTCTTGCAGTGCTCTGATAGATGCCTGCCATTAAGCACCTGGAGTCAGGCTATAGTGAGGAAGAGGAAGGCCTGTAGGCCAGCCACAAGCTAACCCAAGGAATTGCTGAGAAATAAGAACACAGGTGGGAGCCCATGTTATTAATTACAGTACAACTTTTATTAATACTGGAATCTTCACAGTGCATTCGTTACTTGTAGCAGTGACTATTTAAATCAAGGGTGGGGCAAGGGACAGGATAATTCTCAAAAAAAAAAAAAGAAGAAAGAAAAGAAAAAGGAAAAAGGGAAGTTGGGGAAAGGGAGCAGCGGGAGAGAGACAGGAGCACTGGGCAGGGAAATAAATTAAAAAAGGACAAGTTAACAACAGCACCAGAAAATTACTTCAGTTGAAAGACAGTTTTTTTAAAGGATTTTTTTTTCTCTGTACAAAGTGAAAAAAAAAATAATCAAAAAAACCCAAAACCCCGAACCCAAACATTTGTCACGCGCCACCACCATCTCTGGTCACAAGAAGGAGGTTGGGAATGATGGGACGGAGAGAGGTTATAACTAAATCATTATTACTAAGACAGTATAAGAGTAACAGGGTTGCAATGCGACACACACACATACACACATCTGGGCTGGAAGGCAAGAAGGGTGGGTTCATTGTTTGGAGCTATGTACAACATCATGAGCTGCTGTGCTTTGTGAATGCATGAGCATGGAGAAAGAGCAGGGAAGAGGTGGGGAAGTGAGAGAGAGAGAGAGAAAGGGAGAAAAGGTTGTGCTTTCTTAACTTTCTTAATCTACGCCCCCAAATCAAACTAATATATCAAAAGCTGGCTGAAGACTGTGCCTGCCCCCACAGGGGAACTACTTCTTCACATAACTGTCCCTGAAAAACTGCCTTTCCCTTTCACAGTAGGGATGAAGGCACATTGCTTCTTGCTTGGAATTTATGCTCCAGAGAATTGCTCCCATCCTTTCCCCACCCCTTGTACACCTCCTGCTTCAGAGGAATGTGGGACTTGCTTGGCTGAAGTGCTTGTCAAAGAGAACAAGAAGATGGCAAATGGGACCCAACCCCTGTACTGTGGGACACACAACATGCTAAGGGCTAACTACTCTGGAAAGGTGAGTGGCAAGACCAAAATCATAGGAGGAACTGGAAAAATCACTTCCAGTGAAACCACTGAAACTGGTGGGTCTAAGCTAGCTATGATGCAGATCCACTGAAATCAAGGGAGACCATACTTGTCTATGGAATGACTCCATTGAAACCAGTGGATCTCCACCAAGAATTAACCTGGGCTGTAATGGCCACACAAGGTCTACTGTCTATGCAGGACCTCCCTTCCCTGCAGTACCCCTGCTATCCGCCATGCTTATCCAGTGAAAATGCATCTTGTGCAGCTCCCACAGTACTGTTATAGCCCAGTGGGGTCCTCTCTTCATCCCTACCTGTTGCAGTAGCACCTACAGTGATGCGGGATTCCTCCAAATTACCAGCCACTCAGAGGGATCCTGAGATAAGGCCAGTGATCCCCCTGCATAACCTGATGTTTTTAGCTTACTAAAGGTTCAGGGGTAATGAAGGCTGGGGGGAGTAGATCAGACCAACTCTCAATCAATCATAATTAAGGCAGTCTCCAGCCAGCTGGGTTGGTAATAGCCATTCCTATCCAATCAGATGCAAGGAAAGCCCATTTTCCTTCATGTCTAACCAAAACCTACAGGACCACAGGGCCACATCCAAGGCACTACATCATTTCCTCTGACTGTAGTGGATGCCCCCAGCTCCTTCCCCTCCAGTCACTCTACCCAATTTGCCAGGAATCCCTTCTCTTCACCCATGTCACATTCCATTTGCCAGCACAGACTTTGCAGGCTTAGGGGAGAGCAGGACCAGGGAGGGAAGGGCAAGAGGCAGACACATACCTGAGCACCCAGAAATGCCCCCAAGGCTGGAGTTTTGGAATAGTGCTGTAAGTATCAAGGAGGGGAAGAGCGCTCCCCTTCCTTTGGCATGCCTGTTACAAGGTCCTTAGGGAAGGGGGATGGACTGGAGAGAGGTGCTCTCCTTTCCTGTTCCTATCATATTTATCCAACCAGCATGTCCTGCAAAGCCCTGCTTTTAAGCAGTGAGGGAGATGTGTGAGAGAAAAGATTTTCAACACAACACTGGCTCCCCATCCCTCAAGCTGTCCCTGCACCCTCTAGTCACTTCCACATAAACGCTCCCATGGCATGACTGCTGTAAGCTCAGAAGCCATTTAAGAGGACAGGGATACTGCCACGGCCACTGCATTCTGGGAATGGAGCCTAGTACTCTATCAGCTTGGCCCTGGTGTAAAGACAGCGCTGGGAGAATCCAGTGAGATGTGCTTATTGGGATGTTCATGGCTATTAGGAACAGGGGTACTGACAAGGAAGAGTGAGCCAGGACATCACTCTTT